CAAATATTGCCACTGTTTCGCCGCCAGGTAATTGCAGCCCTGCTTATAATTAGCAACTTATTCACTCATTCTTTCCCTCAGTCGCTCATTTGCTTATTCCGTTACTCACTAACTATATAGCTCACTCACTAACTTACTCGCCAATTTACTCACACATTCGCACACTCACCTATCCAATTCTAGTCACTCACTTGATCTCTCAATTTTAGCAACGTTGTTTTACGAATGATTTACTGAATCACTCAGTAACGCGGACCACTGACCAACGCCAATGACTGACCAACGCGAATTACCCTCTGTCTGGAAACACTGACTAACAAAAATCACTCATTGCATTTAATTTTAATTCATTTAAGGAGGGTTGCCCTCCAGCCGGAGCTGGTTTACAAGAGTCCATCTACTTAAAAACTTTAATTACAATAGAAAATTTCAAAAATTTAATTCAAATACAATATTAAAAATTTAAAATTTAAAAACCTTATACACTCACTAACGGGAATCACTAACGGAAATCACTTTCTTACCGCGAATCACTTACGGGAATCATTCTCTTAACACGAATCACTTAGTATGACAAATTTCTCACCAACGCGAAGAACTCACTAACATGAACCAACACAAATCACCCACCAACACAAATCACTCACCAACACAAATCACTCACCAACACAAATCACTCGCTATTACAAATCACTCACTATTGCAGTGCAAATCACTCACCAACACAAATCACTCACCAACACAAATCACTCACCAACACAAATCACTCGCTATTACAAATCACTCATTATTGTAGTGCAAATCACTCACCAACACAAATCACTCGCTATTACAAATCACTCATTATTGTAGTGCAAATCACTCACCAACACGAATCACTCGCTAACACAAATCACTCACTATTGCAGTGTAAATCACTCACCAACACGGATCACTCGCTAACACAAATCACTTACTAACGCGAATCACGTTCTCCATCACTAACCCTTTCACTTGATGCAATGCCAATAACTTATCATGTCATCCTTTTGCTCCATAGTCGATAATAAACTCAATATACAGCGAACTTCTTTATTGAAACAACCCATATTTGTAACAGATGTTTTTCCCATAAATTCTTGCATCCATATAGAAAGAGCATCTTGATGTCAGCTTAATATTATGTAAATCTTAGGTTTATATTATGTCAGCAATAATATAATCTACGATGCCAAAAAAGATTATAAGAAAAGCAGTAACAACTAGATAAATGCTGTTATAATTTTTAATAGCATTATTACGTAAGCCAATTGGCATAACTTTCTGCACACTGTTTAATCAGAAAGATTTGAAATATACCATGCAATCCTTGAAGCGAAAACCAATTTTGCTACAACTCGTAATCCCCTATTGTAGGTATCCCGGGCATAACAGCGTTCGCGAAGAACGGCCTTCTTATAAGATTCGACTTCGAAAAGGTTGTCGGCAATCCTAACAACATTGTCTCAGTAACGATGACCGCAACGAATTCGCAGCCATCTCCGATGACTGATTTCGTGTTTCAAGCAGCTGTGCCAAAGGTTTGTTCTTTTAATTGGAGATTTCTGGTCACAAATAAAGTATTTAATGCTGTATAGGCAGAGCTGTGCACGTGTAGAGGAAGACGACTCAATGCTTGAACCTTGAGTTTCACGCGCAATGCGATCATAAGGCACGTGTATATCTTACTGTTTTCGTTGGGTATTCCTAGCCCTCATTATCATTTATTCCGTCTCAATTTCGATGCATCCTACACATTCCTCTCCTTAAGATGATAAAACAAACTGATGTTGGTCTTTCATGCACTCTAAATGCTCTTGCTGCTCTACCAGATTATTGCAAAGCATATATCGGAGTGACGTGTGCATAAATATCCATTATAGCCCAAAATGAACCTCAAAACCGTTCTACTAGTAGTGAATGAAACTAAGTCCTTGACGGTCTCAACAATCGATGTTCGTATTAGTTCGTTGATTAGATTCTTGTATTTTATCATTACATTTATAAAGCAAGAAATCAGCTCCTATCTAGTGAGCTATGTCAAATGTTGTTAGTATGCCCCCATCAGTTGAAGGAAAAGAACAGCATTAACAGACTGCAGGGACAGCGCATGCTCCAAACTGCAGTCCCGCATTCTATTACTGACAAGTGTTTATGGGATGTTTCTTAGTTCTATTCAGTTTTTGCACTGGTGTGAACACAGCCAAAACAAATTTTTAGTACTCAAGTAAGAGTATAACGGAAACCAAATGGGCCTATTCTTTTTCTTTTTGCACTGTAGACGGGCCATTGATGTTGTATTTTTTTTCTGATTGTAGAGCTTCCAGCTGCAACTGAAACCGCCATCCGGAAACATGCTCCTTCCGAACAACACTGGAAGTATCCAGCAAATCATCAACATCGCTAACCCACAGAAGGTATTCAATTGTCGTATCTTTAGTTCCGGGAAATAAACATCGCTTACTCGCTAATGTTTTGTAACTTTAGTTCCGGGAAATAAACATCGCTTACTCACTAATGTTTTGTAACTTTAGTTCCGGGAAATAAACATCGCTTACTCACTAATGTTTTGTAACTTTAGTTCCGGAAACGAAGAAGATTTCGCTAAACTAATTTGAATTTGAATGGCTTTTGCTTCCATCTGGTTTTGTGTGGAAGACTGTAACTTTATGCTTAGGAATGAATTTTTCTATAGGTTGTACCGAAACTCGGTACAGCCAAAAAATGTTTAAAAAGCTAGTTGGCGAAATTACTAGTTCAAGTGGAAGGTACGAGCTGATTTCAACACTGTGATATTTTTCTGACAGGTAGGTATGTGCAAATATTACATATGTATTGGTTTTCTATGCCGAAGCTTCTCTCCAGTTCTGTTGCGTACATGTTACAATTTATCAATGTATGGATTTAATATGTTTTACATTTGCGCAGAAAATCAATCCCATTTCCCATGAAAATTTTCAAGGGAATTAGTTTTTCCCCTGTCACAACTAGTTTTTCTTGATGTTGAACAGATTGTGGTTAACTTAAGTGAAAACTAGCAAACAATGAAATTGGGTTTTCTGGCCATTTTTCTGTTACGTTAGCAATCTCTTTGTATAGTAAGATCTTGTTCAGTATAAATCCACTTGTTAATTTTCCGTAAGCTTTTGTGAAAATTAAGCAAGTTAATGGGCAGTTTTGTTTTTGAGATTGTGTGTTTGTTCCACCGTTAGCAGACAAAGAAAAGCAAGGTATCTAAAGAGATCTAAAAAAATCTTTTAGACGGATCTAAAAACCTAGGAGCTCTTTCAAATGCGTAGTTTTAGCAAATGGTTTTGTGGTGCTTAAAAACTCTCTTTTCGTTACTATTCGTGAAACATAGACGAAGATGCCAAAATACCTTTCAAATAAGTTCTTTTAATAGAGCGAAAAACAAGCATAGCTTTCTTCCATTTTTAAGGAAGCCCTGCCGACTTTTGCTGTGGTTAGAGACCCTAAATAGAAAGAATTGCACTAAAAGGCGCCGGTTGGCCTAATAATGCGAACAGCCATTGCAAGTTTACTTCGCGCAGCCCTTTGAGCGTTGAATTGCATTCAGCCATTCTAACTTCGAAAAGAAAACGACTGACAGAAAGCGTTTCAGACTATAAAGAGCAGGTGTTTGTGTTCGCTTTGTTTGTAGTTTTGTCTTCAGTCTTGGCCTGCTCGTAGCTTCTAGGTGTTTTACCGTTCCAGCCAAACATTCGCTTTTTCATCATGATCAAGCTTCTTTTGCCAGCTTACTCAATTCTACGTCAAATTTTATGGCTGAAACTAGGTCTCATTGTTAGTAATTTTCCCTTCCAGCAAAACATACGAATGCGTTTGAAGATTAACTACTCCATGAATGGGCAACTGGTAGAGGAACAGGGACAGTTGGACAATTTCCCGCCAGATCTGATGCAATAAGGTAGTCGTCATGTATAATTGTGCTCAGCAAGCTCCTTACGAAATGCGCACCTATGCAATGAACCTAGTTTTCATGGAGGGGGCAATTCTGAAATTCATAGCATTGATTTTGTATTTAATCTCCTGTCTATCAAATCGTTTCAAAATCCAAAGGCTAATGCTTGATAATTGTCTGTTGTTTTGTAAAATTACTCGTCGTTGTCGTAACTTAGGATATCAGTATAAATTTGATGGATTGTGTAGGATTTTCATTGTAGCTATAGTTTTCTTGTCTATCAATTTTCCTTTTTTCCTTTGATTCTCCTCCTTCGCCCCTTCCTTTCAATTTAACCTTGTGTGCTTCTGCGAGACAGTTTCCAGCACAAAATTGGTTTAATGTTCCATAACGTACAATGCCTGCCAAAAGTCTTGGAACACTGACATCAATTTCCAAGGTCAAAACCAATCATCCCCCTCTCCCCCACGGAACAATGTTGGTTTACTATCAAACGGATTAGGATTTTAGGAAGCACTTTCTTTTGCGCTTCTTTTATGATATTTCGCTAAATCATCAACATTGTTTGAGGGGGAAGGGGGCGGAAGTAGCAATTTTTTTTCATGAAAGGAATGAAAGATATCAAATGCAGCGTAAATTGGTGGGTGTTCCAAGTACTTTTGGCAGGCATTGTCTGAATTTCATTTTGAAGCTTATTAGATATACCACCAAAACCAATATCCTCCTATAGGTTTTTGATGGTGCTGATTCCATTTCTGCCATTTTCAACATCGTACGTGTTACCGATAAGGAGATATGGGGTATTGTTATTTTTCGGGGGTGGGGGTAAGCTACCCCCATAAAACTAAATGCCATATTTCAATTAAGGTGAAAATTGCTAAAATCAAAATCGATTTCCAATAAATAGGATCAAGATTGTATTTTGAATCTTTTCAAAGGCTCGTAGCCAGATGGCTGTCTAAGAAATAATGGGATAGATGAAGGAGACAAATATGAGTGGCAGCTAGAAAATAATCTAAAAATGGAAAGGATGCAATTTTATAAAAGTGACATCGATTCCTCTGTTTCATGTTTCTAATTATAGATAAGGTCGTATTTGAGAATTATGTCGGGTAGTTGCTCTCCTTTTATCACGGATTTACAAGTTGTCATTCATATAGGCCCTTGTTGTGCAATTCAGTGCCCAAATGACAAATTTCAGAGTGTTTACCTAAATTGTAGAAAGGAACCCCTTGTTTCTCACATCAGAGTTCCCAACTGATTGATCTACTATTCCATGTTGGTTGGTAAGGGAACTGAAATAAAACTGACATCCACTCGCCTTCCTGCGCTCCTAAATGCTTGGCCCAGAAGCACTACAAAGAAAGCCCTCTTCTCTACTGTTACTGCATTGCCAAAATGGCCTTTGCCAAAGTTAGACTCTACCTGCTACTTTTATCTTCATAAAGCGCAAGGCAGATTATTTCATCGTTAATTGATTGCTGTATTTGTTTGCGTGAAATTTTCCACAACAAAATATCTTATTTCATCGAATGTAGCGCGCGTCGATGTGAAGGACAAGGCCCCGCAAGGCAACTCTCACCCTCGGAAATGAACGCTTGTAGACCGTTGTGTAGACCGTGGCTGTTTCTTCGCAATTTTCTGACTTGTCAGGGGGATGTTTGCCCCCAAATTCACCCAAAAGGTGTATAATAATACCCCTCAAAGATAAAATTAGCCTTTGTATGAATTCCATGAAGAAAACGGCAAAATATGACGAGAATCCCACGGTCTACACTCAAAAGGAGAATAAGATCTAGAGTACTTCAAATTCAATTCTCAGAAAGTGTAGACCGTTGACACTTTCCTGAATTTCTTCAGTTTTACAACTTGTATCGATCTGAAAACCTACAATATTTTTATACTAGCCATGCACACCTACTGACGAGGTTTCGTCTACTTTCTTTGAAAAATACGATTTTTATGAACATTTTAAATGTGTAGACCGTGGCTGTAGACCGTTGGTAACCATTGGCAATAGGCATTTTCATACTACATCACGTGCCCATTAGGAAAGGAGCGTTCTTTCAATTCCTAGCATACTTTAACAATGGAAAACGAACAATTATAATTGGCACAAACCATTTTCCAATTACTGGGACAAGGGAAGATAGAAAATAATAGGGAATGGGGTGTCTATGAGCGCTACCATGTTGCCACATGTGAATGCGAAGGAGCAAAGCCTAAGCAAATTTATTAAATTCGTAGATGGTTTTGGGAGGGTTATGGTGGATAAAATTGAGCCATTTGAACAGTTTCTCACCAGCATGTTGTTCGCAATTATTTATATCATGCATGGTTTGTAGACATTCTCATGAATTTTTTTGTTTTTTCATCAATAATTAAACCATAAATAAGGGGACTTTTCAGAAAAAAACACTTTTTCAAAAGCACTAAACTGTACTGTTTTTCCTTTGAAAATTGATAGTTTTCTTAAACCGATGATCGAATTCTGCACAAAATACTTGTTTTCAATAATGATTTAAATGATATTGACGGAAAAAATCAGTAGAATGTTTTTTGTAACAAATAACAATACTCGGATATCTACTATATCAATCGTTCAGAGTCCCAACCCCCTCCCCCCCTTTTAACTGGGTAAAGAGTGAAAATTTCGAATTTTCATTAGTAGCAGTGAGATCAGCACCATCGAAAACCCCAGGGTAGCACAATGTTTTGATATCGCAGATTGCTGTTTTCGAGAAAATTTTCAGACAAGGCCTGCCAAAAGTCTTGGAACACCGACATCAATTTCCAAGGTCAAAACCAATCATCCCCCTCTCCCCCACGGAACAATGTTGGTTTACTATCAAACGGACTAGGATTTTAGGAAGCACTTTCTTTTGCGCTTCTTTTATGATATTTCTCTAAATCATCAACATTGTTTGAGGGGGAAGGGGGCGGAAGTAGCAAATTTTTTTCATGAAAGGAATGAAAGATATCAAATGCAGCGTAAATTGGTGGGTGTTCCAAGTACTTTTGGCAGGCATTGTAGGCTCAACCTACCTCCAGGTTAGCTTAAACTAGATTGCGCTGTGTTGATTGGGTCTTAACGACAAAATTTTAGTGCTTATCCTGATTTAAAGTGAACAAGGCTTTGTTTTTAAGTGTCCTGTCTTCTATTTCTGTACTTTGGAAATAATCAATTGATTAAATGTTCTAATACAAATGCTCCCGTGAGATTACTAGCTTCGAAATAATGCTACTTCCATATACTTGTTTCACTCGTATAGCACAAAATTCTGCATAGCTTTCGAAAAAATATGGTGACAGAGAAAAGAAGGGCGTCTGTTTCACATTGGAACAGATGTTTTTTGCTAAAAAAAAACAAGATATCCGAATTCTTCGTAACAGCTGCCAACCCTCTTGGTCACTTATCAACAGTTATGGGTCTCGATTGTGAATATATATATATATATATACAATTCCATCCTCTAGATTCATTATCCCACGATTGTTTAGAGAATAACTATTAACTGAGTTGGTGTCAGAAATCTCTATCACGGCGAGATTCGGACGATTTTTTTAAGTTTAACTGATAATTCTTAGAATATTATTAAGCATGACTGTAAAGTGACAGCGACTTGACAAGAACTTGTTTCCAGAACGAACCAAAATAATTGTATTACAATAGTTTACGGTCACACTTGGGATGAAGATAGCATTAAAAACATTCATAGCGAAGTCATAGCGACATACCCTGGCAACAAAGTCTTTGTGACTTGCAAGTTCTTGGTACAGCCTTGATAAACGAAGAAAAATTTATTTTTTGAGAAGGAGAATTCCATAAATTGTAATAACAGGCTACGGTCCTGAAAAAGATCTTGAAATTATATTAGATAAAGTCAAATAGATTTTAATCTACCAGTTAAATTGAATAGTAGTATAAAAGCCAGAACAGAACTCTTTTTTAATCATACCAAAGAACATAGATTTCCATATTGACACAACCCCAAACCATTAATTTCCTCTTATGGAAGATACATGTTCCTTGAACATCATATGCAAAAACTAAGATAGTACATAGTTCATGTATAAAGACAAGCAAAAATTATCCAATCGTTTTTATCATCAGATGTAGTCTGGAATGAAATGTAGACACAGGATACACTTTAAAACTCTATCAAGGCCCATGAGAAGTTAAATTTGATTTTTTTAAACAGTATCACCAATAAGCAATTAGGGGTGGAGACGCTTCAACATTAAGTAACTTTGGGGTTACAAGACAAGCAGCAATCAACAAGGGGGCAATTAAGTTATGTTTTGCTTTTCTTGCTTGGTTATGGTCAAAGTCTGTTTTTATCGTATCTCGTTCGTGAGAAGTTCCAACCTTCGATATGTTAAATTGTTTTATTGAACCTCAAGTGGACTAAAATTATGCGGAACAGTTCCATCAATGCATGTACAAACGACCATTTGGGTTATGATGATGATTTACTCTGCTTTTAGTAATTTGATTTCATTAATTATAACTGTATTGATTTTCTGATTTTACTTCGTCAAACATGCCTATCTTCTACCTACTACTACGAACCCGAATGGAAAACAACGTAGTTTAAAAGCACAAAGTGTGCATGCACCAATCTTATCAATCAGGGGAGTTGAATGTTTTTACTTGCTGGTCAAGACGCTGAAATCTTGATTTAATATTGAGATTTGGAAAAAAATAACAGTGCATCAGAACAAGATACCTGCGAATTAAAACAATCAAATAGTATTTCAATATTATGGCACTCT